CGGTGAAAGCGGTGCTTACTCTAATCTTATTTTGAATATTATTTGCCGCGCTTTTAATTTATCTTTGGCTGCGGTGATTGGATCATCCAGATCCGTTCGGATATGTCAGGGCCTCCTAAGTCCTACGTGCTCCTTTTAACGGGAAGTTCTGCGTTTAGTCGAATTTTCATATTTAATATACCTGGTGATCAGGGCTGTATGCCACACACCACTTGGGTGTAAATACCTTATGAAGGTTCATTTTGCCGTAGGAATGAATATTGGTATAGTTAAGGAACTACTAAGCTACTCGATTAATGGAACCTAATATTATACATGATAAATTATCTGGATAATAAGAATTTACCGTCTAAATAATACATTATTGGTAATAATAGCATTAATTTGAGGTGCAAGTAGGGGTAGAACTAAACCTTGACGATTACAATGTGTATTTCCTTTGTTACGTATTCGTTATCATTACAGAAAAACGATAGAACACGACTTAATAGGAATATTTATAAACTCGTGCAACTATTTATAGAAGAACGAAAATGTTATTACTTCCCGTTTCAATACAAATGACATTAATCAAGATAAACATTGCTTTATTTTATATAATATTTGATGTTTGTGTTTATCAGCCATTATGTTAGTACTTAATGGTAGATTAAATATTAGATTATAGTTTAATATCATTTTTATGTAGGCTCAAAATAATATTATTACTCATGATGGAAAACACATCTTAAAATAAATGCGTAAACGCGTGAATCAAATATAAGTAGCTTTTAAAATTTTATACCAATAATGCATCACTTGGCGAAGTACCAAGAGTTATAGAATCATACCAGGAATATTAAGTTTATGGTGTTTATCGAAATAATACCACTGCTGGCTCGTAGCGTATGATACTTCATATTATCGTGTCTTCTTAAATTTAGATGCAAGGAAAGAACGTGCTTTTGGTACAAAAACAGGCTTAAGAGAACACATTGTTATTTTTCAGCAACCATTGTAAGCTAAACAAGCATAAAATAGTCGAAAAACAATTGCTTGCAATCTTAGTGTTTTTAGAATATTTTCTACGCTTCTCTTTCGAACTCTGTGTAAAAACAGGTTGATAGATTTAGTACGGCACAAAACTTTAAAATAGACGGGTTCCATTAGGATTTTATAAAATTTTCTCATTGTTAAAATAAATTTACTTCTAAACTGAAAAATAAATTATGATAATGATGTTCGAAATGAAGACGTACAACGTACCTATACTGGCTGGTATGAGCTTTATATGAAAGAGTTTAAAAAACAACTAACCGCGGTAACAGTCACAAGTATAATCTAGTATTAAATAAATCTCACAAGATCCAAGAGCCTAGCTACGATCTCTCGTTGAATTTTGTCCTTCGCGGTAGCACTATTAAACACGGAAGCTGTAGATTTACTATCAGTTAGCACATCTTGAGAAACTGAAGCTTCCTGAAAAACTAGATAAGAATATTGCATTCATATATTTAATGCGGCTTTACTTGTTTATCGTGTAATTAATGTAACTAGATGTTACTTATCCCTTAACTACTGAATGGGTCTGACACGCTGGGTCTGTTTTTAGATATTTATAAGGTAGTAGGATTATTCTTATATCTCCGATTCTAAAACAATTATTGTTTCGCCGGAAGTGAAACCCACGGAAAAGCACGAAGGCTAACATAAAAAAGTGCATTTTATATAAGTTGACCAATGAAACTGAAATAAAGGCTACCCTTAAATATTCTTATAAACTTCATTGAATTCTATTAGTATCAATAAAACCAATGTTTAAATGAATACCATAAACAATTTCTAAAGGATCATATTATATTTCGACAGCTTTGTAAAATAAGGTTAAATTATCGCGTAGATTACGAAGATCCCTTTAAAGTCAGGTCGTCGATCCGCTCCACGTGTATAATTTGATATCAGTTATGGGCTTTTGTCTTGGCAAATAGTTCATATTTTGTAAAGCCTGGTCTAGGCTGGCCGTGTTACATATCATCAGTGCGAAGTTCATAAAATGTAGTTGTTCAAAAATATTTTAAAGTAGGTATGTAAATTGGTTTTTTAAATAAATTATGGTATGGATTAAGTATTTTTCAAATTTGTAATAACGATAACTTATTTCCTAAACTTAATTCAAAAGTCAAATCATCAAAGTCTAATTTTACATTGACTGCCAGTTCTCAAATCAAGGGTGTAGAACGGAAGAGAAGAACTGGCAATAAACTCTCCGCCACTCTTTTTTATTATTTACTATGAACATTGAAGTTTTATTTATATGGATCCTAGAAAATTATCTTTTGACAGTAGGTTAAACACCATCGTATCCTTGCATTGTGAGGTTTTGTTTTGTCCACCGTTGGACATAGCTCTCCTGCATCCGGTTCCACTCGTGTCTGTCCAGACGCGGCGCGGTGACTTTTCGACACTGGTTTTAATTCGCTGTATTATGTTATTATATTGTTCTTGGATATACTTGGATTTTTCAGTGTGTTGAACATGAGTCCTGACTTTTCCTATAATTTGTTTTCTACTTCTAACTCTTGCCGTAGTTGCCACTGTTGAATAAAAATTGTAATAGAACCTATTAAATGGATAGTTAAGTCGTAATTATATAAGTCTATTTTTAAATAATTTAATAGCGAAAAATGTTTCTGAAAATATTTAGTTATTTCAACAATTCTTTGAAATTTACCAATCGTTTCTGCTAACTATTAAGACATATTGCGATGTACGGGCCTTAACTGAAAACGTTAAAATCTTTAGCGCTATGAACGTTTGTATACCTACATAGAAACTGCACTCGCCCTAATATCAGTAAAATAAGTATTTTAATACAATTTTCTTACAAAATATGCCTTACATACATTAAAGAAACCGCCTCTCGCTAACTACGACTGCTGAAAAGCACTCGAAATTGTAATAATGACTCCTTATAAATCCGTTAATAATAATTTATTAAGGCAGTCGTAAGACAATACATTGTCATATAATATCCTATTTTGTGCACTAATCGGCCTGTCTATCAACAGAAGACATTACAATGAAGTTGTTCTTCCGCAAATGATTCAAGTTCAATATACCTTCAATATTTACTATATTTAATCGCGTTGAAGCATCATGTATTGTGACATGGGTAAAGATAAAACAGAACACAAATCTTAAACATTAGAGTATCTTTTATTGGTTCTATGATAAGGTGTCATCCTACCGGGACTTATTTAGTCTTGCAAGAAATTACGAACAAAACATCGCTTTATTTTCTAATTAAATTACTAGTTTTAAAATATTATTTAGTGTATTAAAATTATGAAAGTGGTTTTATAAGTGATCAGTGCATTTGTGTGTGTGATTGTAATCTATTTACTGTTTTGGATTTCAGTATGTAACTTACGTTTCTTTTTAGATTTCAGATTTCAAATCTGACTTTAATTTAAAGATTGAAATGTTTATAAAATATTCACATTATAGTTTGATAGGCATGAATACTTCCTTGCTCTCCAAAATAATGGAAACTATTATTAAAGACCAACTTCTGAGGTATCTAGGGGGCCACCAGCTGATTAGCGATTATCAGTACGGCTTTAGCCGTGGTCGCTCAGCTGGGGACCTCATAGTATACCTTACACATAGGTGGGCAAAGGGAGGGAGTCCAATAGGGAGGCGCTGGCGGTAAATTTGGACATAGCGAAAGCCTTCGATCGGGTGTGACACAGAGCACTGCTCTCGAAGCTTCCAGGCTATGGGCTCCCCGAGAAATTTTGCAACTGGATTTCTAGCTTTCTCGCTGATCGCAGCATCAAGGTCGTCATCGACGGAGCATGTTTCGACCTTAAACACGTGAATGCTGGGGTCGCACTAGGCTGTGTCCTATCCCCGACCCTGTTCATTCTGCATATCAATGGTATGTTGCAAAGTAGCAACATTCATTGCTATGCGGACGACAGCACTGTGGATACTCTTTATACTGGCCGGGAACGTATTTCTCGAGCAGTTGTCTGTTGAGTACTGGAACAAACTTGTGTCTGAAATCGAAACTCTGCTACGTGGAGTGTTGGACTAGGGTAGACTAAATCTAGTCCAATATAACCTCAAGAAGACATAAGTTTACGCGTTTTCTGCTAAAAATTTTCCCTTTGTCGCTATTCCTCTCTTTGAAGACACTCTCCTTAAAGCCTCAGCTAGCATCGGAATACTGGGCGTAGACATATCGAATGACGTTCAGTTTCGCGGGCCACCGCTTTTCACCTCTGGGCGGGAGCTTCCCAGTACCAGTTCCTGTCGCTTGAACGTATTCAACGAAGAGCGATTCGAATCGTCAACAACCAGTCACTTTCCGTGTGGATTGATACCTTGGCGTTGCGTAGAGATGTGATGTCTCTCAGCATCTTCTACCGCTCCACAACTGAGCGTTTCTTAAGGCATTTTTTGCCCAGCTGCCCACTGAAGTATTTCCGAACCAATTCGACTAAGGGTCCTTCAAGAAAAGAGCGTACCAATTCTTGCTTGCGAGCCTTTTGGCAATGTGACTTTCCATGGGCGGCGGAAAATTAAATATATATATCACTTAACATCAGATGACCTTCCTACCTGTTTGCCTCCTATTACATTAAAAAAAGAACTGTAGGATTTAACAACATATAAAATAAAAAACTACTTGAACTAAATTTCATCAAAGTCTACTACTAAGACAAACTACTTAGTCTGATAAAAGACAAGAAGGACGAATGCCCAGGAATAACATTTATTTTCGTTTGTTTCAGGGTTAAAAAGAAAAGTAGATTAGTGTGGAAAAGCACAAAATACATCGCAACAATATCAAATGCGGGTGCCGCATACATTTTGTAGAGAGACAAAATCTGAAAACGCGTTATAACATCTTTAATGGTCGCTCTCCCACTGGAGAAAGTTATTTACACCAACTGTCACTTCATTATTATTAAATTTCTTAATATCTTCTTTATTTTATAATATATACATTAAAAATGGCGAAAATACTGAAAGTGGTTGGGGCCTCCTGGCTGCAAACCAAAATTAGTTCTTATATTCTTGGATTTCTTGGAATCCTCGCGATATTGGCGCTTTTTGCTGGACATATTGAGAGGTAAGCACAATAATTATTACAGACTTATTAATAGATATAAATAATAAAAAGTCGCTGATGTCTCTATACACCATTGATGGTACTCTTAATAGAAAAACACAACCACAACCTTACTATTTCCGGTAAATAAGTTATATTTTTCAATTCATAGGAATATTTTATACAAAACGAATGTTGACTATGTACTGTGTATATGTTTACCAAAACTTTATCGTGTTTATGTGTACTAAATTACTTAAGTAGGTAATATACGTCACAAGAGTCAATGTAATCTTTGCCATGAATTATAGTCTAATAAAATTACCTAAAAGTCTTGTTTAAATAATTTACACGTCGAAATTAGGAAGAAAGCTTGGAATAATAATACCAACTCGTGTAAGGTGTGTAGCCTCGTGATAAAGCTTTATATTTTTTAAAGGCAAATTAATAAACAAAATGTTCTTTAAGTTATTGATAGTACGTTTTTAAATAAGATAAAGTATATAAAGAATTCCTCGTCTCGCGCGCGTGATTATTATGGGCGCTGTAAGGTTTTTTGTCAGAATCAAATACCGCGCAGTTTATCTTTGAGATTCCTATGTAAATTAATATACTGTTAAAGAACTTTAATACAAATCTCTCGCTTGCAGAAATCAAATAGTTTATTATAAACTCATCGTTTTACAGAATACAAGAAGATGGCAACTACACAGCTACTGTATTTTATTCAGAGAAAACTGGATATAGTATTGAATTTTGGGGGCAAAGTAACGATTTAAATAATATACCTAGAGGAGTGGCCCGAGCATATTTTAGGCCGGAAATCGATAGTACTGGGTAAGTTTTCGTGAATTAAAAAAAACGGCTTACTATAAAGTATAAACCGTCTTTGTTGCCATGGTTATAATTTTTTATAATGAAAGAAATACCGTAACCTGCTAATAAATGCGGTTAAGTTTACGTTTTATAACACTTTATACGATTACTATATATTAGTTAAACGGTTCTCGACTATGGTTATGCGTGTCCCAATGGATTATGTTTATGGCTAATAACACTTACCTTTGCGATGGAGAAAGTCTTTGGTAGATTTTTTACCACCATGTTACACAGAAATCGTGTCTAATGTGACAGGTTCTCAAATATATAGATGAAAAAAATGCCACTCTATAAAAAGTATTACACATCTTGAACATTAAACAAGGGAGTGGGGGAAAATTTGCGCAGCGCGGAACACAAAAGTCAACTGATTTACCTATCACGTGAGCCGCGCACCACCGCCCGCCGCCCAGTGATACCTAAAAATCGCTTTTCCACAGGCAAGGAAATTTGTTAAAAATGTTTGCCGGTATCTGTACATTAAGTTTATCTTATTATATGTTATATAAAAAATTTGTTTTGAGTGAAAAACCTTGCTGATTCCGAAGCTTAAAGACCACTTCTGCATTTATTTGATAAAAAAAAATTCATCTGTAATTTATTTTCGTAAGTGCATGTCTGCAGCGCTCTGATTATATCTAATTCTCAAATAAGCTTACAACTGAATGTTACGTATACAACATCGTGTTTTTACTCACTTACAGTTGGTCCATACTCGAAGTGGAAACCAATGGTTCGTACCCTGACGAGATCCAAGCATATGCAGCAGGCATTGTAGAAGGCGCGTTGACCTGGTACTCTATCCATGTTCACCTGGAAAACACCATTCGTGCGAAGTGTGAGGACCGACCAATAGAGAAGCAGTGTGACAAGCTAAGAGATGCCTTGGACAAGTCTGCTAACATCTGGAAAAGTTATGCTGCAGATCGAGCTGCTACAGATCCATATTGGCATCATGTAAGGATTTATAGACCTTTAGTTAATGTTCTTTATTACGATACCACATTAATAAATAAATCAGTGGCGCTACAGTCTCTTTAGGTCTTGCCCTCAGATTTCTGAATCTATTTTATGATCATTTTTAAATCTAATAGGCAAGTAGGAGATCGGCCTCCAGTGCCTGACACACGCCGTCGACTTTTTGGGCCTAAGACCGATACCACATTGTCGACCCCAAATCCCCGGGGCTAAATTTCTTTGACAAGAAACAAGGCCTAAGTTAGGTATTTGGTGGGGTTGCTCATACATGGATCTCCTCATCTGTGATATATGCATCCCATCGGACTAATTATTGTGTAATTAAGGGTGGAGCCAAAGGATGGGTCACGAAACCACCATGGGTTTGGACAGTGACTAGCTTTAGTAGATTTTTTTGTTTATGTATAAGAACTATTCACGATTATTCGTATTTGACGATTATTTAAATAATTCTAATCCTTGGTATAGATTAGCTCCAAAACAATTTGTATGACTCATAAACTTGGCGATTAAACAGAGTGGCGGAGAGTTTCTTACTAGTTCTTCTTGCCCGCTCTACGCCCTTGACCTGACTGGTAGTAAATGCAAATTTGAATAAATTTAACATCTTTTCTGTTGACGTTTATAAGTGTACTTGGTTACCTATATGAATAAAGGTATTTTAGTTTAAGTTCAAAGCAATACACTAACTTTCTGTGACGTCGTCTGAATTTGCCCTTGAATCGAATGGCCAGTCTCTAAAGATAAGCATCCGCCGCCATATTGGCCTGGAAATTATTAACTTATCAGCCAAGTAAAAGTATTATTATAAATGGCTTTTAATTTTAAAACTCTTTTTCCCCAGGTATCATTATATTACACACAAATTAGGGGCGTCTTCACTGGCTGGAAGCACGGCGTCGAGAGGAATCAAAATGAATATGAAACAGATATATCGGATCTTTACTGGCTAAACTCGGTGTCAGAAGTTGCAGAAATTGAACAAAAACTCAATATAACACTAGAAGAACCAAACATCAATAAGCTGCCTGGCTTATCCAGTGCTTTTATAAGAATAGCCAATGATACTGATGATGAAAGCGTCAAGAAACTTTTTATAGCTCAAAATGCGGCTGGGAGGTAATAAAATAATCTTTAAATCTTAACATTTAAGAATTTGAGGACCAATTCGACTTAGGGTCCTTCAAGAAAAGAGCTAACGCACTCGCGAGCCCTCCGGCATTGAGAGTGTCCATGGGGGCGGTATCACTTAACATCAGATGAGCCTCTTGCCCGTTTGCCTCTTATTACATAAATAAAAAAGTTGATTGTACCTTGACGAAAAAAAATTAAATAAAATTACCATAAAATCTAAATTGCATAGTTAGTTGAAGTGGACGTAGATAATTTTTATTTAAATACACACATAAATCTTACTTTATAGCAACCTCGTATTTAGTGTTTTTAATAGACAAGGCCTTTTTGGTGGGTCGATTTTTCACAAACCGACGTCTCAAACAACGACGATGGGGTCGAGAATCGAACGCACTTATTAACGTTTTTTTATAAATTCAGCCTTAGTATATTTAAAGTCTTAGTTCTTCCTGACACGGATATTTCTATATATAAAAGTTTTGTATAAGTGTGAGCATGTCTTTGTACTTAGGTTAACATTCAGGCCAAGACTAAGTGGCAAGAATGTCAAAAACGTATTGAATCTTAGGTTCGCGCTTTCCAAGTTCCCGGTGTTCCATCTTACCATAGCGATGTGGGTCAGACACACAAGGTTTTATTTTTGAAGTGAAAACTTCTTTAGCGTCGTTGTACACTTTTTTTTTGGAATGGGTAAAAAATGTTAATCTCGCTTCAGGACACGTGGCCTGATCGAAAATTCGTAAGACGGATGGAGAGTAGACAGCTGGCGAGGCGTATTTAATGTAATATAAATTGTCATGTTTGTGTACGATAGCGCAATAAATAAATATTGTATTCTACCACATAAATGATAGTACTTTTATACTGATAATTAAAGCAATTCGTGCAAAATTATTCCCTAACCATTCCAAAATATCAAAAATGCACAACGTTAATATTCAAGTTTTCACTTCTGCCGGGCACTCCCGGAGTGCAACCCGTCGTTTTTTTTAAATAAATGATTTCAATCTAAATAACAAAGAACACTTGCGTAGTCTATTACAAACGTCTCATACGTTACCTCGCTTAGACTTATTCAAGTTATACCCTAAAACTCCGACGAGACTTCATTGACCTTATTTATTTGTATAAAATATTTAACTTTAATACTGTAAGTATTAAACTGACCTTGCCAAATCGGCCTTACGTTACGTTACTAAGGTTAAATCAAATGAAATTATTTTGTGTATTACGTTAAATATTTACCTTGCTAGTTTGAAATTTGTGACGTCATATTTTCTTGTACCTTTTAATTATTGATTAATTTATTGAAGTTAACCACATACATAATGCTATCTACAGTATATGTTACTAGCTATCTTTTCTAAAATATTCTCAATTTTCAAAAACTGCAATTAAATAATAGTACTAAAATTAAATGACTATTTCAGTTATTCATCAATGACACGAATAATGAAGAGGTACAAATTAAACTATCAAAGCATGACCAAAGACAACAAAGCCGGGTTAACCATAGACTTCTCAAGCTACCCAGGATCTATCACCAGCCAGGATGAGTTCTACGTCATTAAGGGGACGAACCACAGACTATCAATCGCCGGTACGACGATCAAGAATTACAATAACAAGCTGTGGAAGGATGTAAACATTACAGAACAAGTGAGTTGTTGTATTGTTTCCTGTTGCGTGATATTGCATACTTTGTTGAGTAATTAAAAACCCTTTTAAGGACTTAGATTTCTGTATCTGTTTCGAGATCATTTGTTCGTTTGTTTTTTCTAAAAGGCAGGTAGGTGATCAGCTATCTATGCCTGGCACACGCCGTCAACTTTTTGGGTCTAAGGCATGCCATGCCGGTTACCTCATGATGTTTTCATGTACCGTACGAGACAGTTAAATGCGCACATAGAAAGTCCATTAATTGGGATGAGAGTCGCACACTGAAGCCACTAGGGCAATAATGCTTACTTGTCGAGTAAAAAGGGGTGATTTTGGGTAACTCAAGCGCAAATAAAAGCGCTCTCTAAAACTCAAAAGTTCTCTCTCTCACTTTGACTGATTGATTTATGTGTTCATGTGTACATGTGGATTATTGTTGTATTCAATAAAACTTATTTACCAAAAATATTTATATATTCGTGAACATACAATAAATGAATTATTTTCCATAACATAGTATTATGTAACCTACATACAAAATGCCTTGATATAAATATAATACTTAATAAAAAAAATCCTTACTATAAAAAAAGGAATTATATTATTTCCTTTATATTCGCTAGTAATACTTATCTATGTTCACGTAAAACCAACTCTCTTAAATTTTTTATTTAAAACAGTAAAGTAGTAAACCCATTTAAAAATAATTCATCTTAATTAAATTACAGCTGCCTCTTGGTCCTCGGGTCTCAGCAGCGAATCACCTTGCAACAAACGTCAGTTCCTGGAGTCATATGCTGGCTTCCAGCAACTCAGGCACTGGCTGCAAACAATGGCTGGTTGTTGACCATGATAGATTTGACAATTTACATAGACAAGAACCCATAGAGCACCAAGATCAAACGGAGGTCGTCACAGAGATTGTTAGCAAGTAAGAATTACTTTCATTTAAACTCTAAAGATTCTTGACTCGACAAATCTCAATAAAATTGATTAAGGTTTTGCGTTATTTAGAGTACGTGCGCAAAGAGAACCGTCGTAATAAAAAAGAATACAATATTTGTTATTATATAAAATGACGCATAGCAAAATATATAAATAATTCGCTCAACTGTCAAGCCGGTATAGCGCCCTTTCCGCACAGACTATGCAAAGTTGATAGATTTCAGACTCAAGTAATTTTGGTACTGAACTATTTAAAACACATTCTTTTATTTCTAAAAGTTGTTGAATTATAAGGCCAATATATTGTTAATTGTCTTTTTTAATTTGTATTCTGTGCAATAAAAAATAGATTTGAAATGACGTGTATAATTGACAGTGACACAAGGCACATAGTCCTACACCGGCCTGGTAAGGGACACACGAAGGGACTCGTCTGGCTGATCGAACAAGTGCCCGGACGCACACATTCCGCTGATCTCTCAGACGCGCTGTTAGAGAGGAAGTACTTGGCTACGTATGGGTTGCCGCATTTTAAAGTAAGTTATGAAATTTTAATAAATCTTTGCATAATAATAATACATAGCTTATAACGGATTGAAAAAGTGTTTTCTTTAAATAATAACAATGATAAAAAAAAGGGTCCGTGTACTTATGTACGCGCGTAAGAAGTTATACTTCTTTGGCAATATTAAAAATAGTTTGGCTTTGTTCCACCTCCAGTTTTTGATGTTTCACAGCGATAAGATGAAAACTCTTTTTTTGTATTCAATTTAGTGCAGTTACACTGATTCATCAATTGTTTTTTGTCTCTTTTCCTTATATTTGCTAGATAAAATCAGAAAATTACATGTTTTGATTAAACAATGTGGTTAATTTTTTAATCAAAACATTACTCGATAATAATAATAATACATACGGATAGTTAACCTCAATTGTATTGAAGCACTTAGGAAGGTTGATGAGCACAGTTTTTTCACAAATATTAATTAGTATTGGTTTAAATATTCAATTTAAATCACTTCTGATTATATAATTCAAAAAGCATCGCTAAATTTCTTTGAAAAATTAATCAAAACTCCTTTATTTGTTTAAAAGGTAAATGACAAATGTCATTATGGTCATTCAAAATTGTTGGCATACGAACTTCACGCATATTCTATTTCTTTTTACTTGTAGATTGTCTTATTCCTATCTCGCTCGCGCACGCTATAATCACACTCCTAATTTTGTGTCACGGGTGCGCGCGCATTGTAAAATTTCACTCTCATAAATTTTTCATAACGCGCCTAAAGAAGTATAACTTCAAAAATATAAATAGAAAATTAAAAATTTTGGTCCCTGTGGCAGTGTACCTTTAACGCTGGCACTTCCTCGCTGTATTGCGATACTTATTCTTTGAGCGAGGAAAGCACCAGCTCCGGGATCACCGGTCGAACCAGTCACCAAATTAAATCATTAATTAGCACACAAAGGAAAGACTTTTATTTGAGTGTATTAGTTACATAAATACGTGTAAACGATGTTTTAATGTGTTAAAAAACTATAAAAATAAATAATTATCTTCAGGACATCGCAGAAACAACACAACTATCAAAGATGGAAGAACTTTACGGAAACATGTTCTCAGAATCAGAGTCCCACAGAGCAGTGATCTTCAAACGAGGGTTCCAAAACGCTACGTCTTTTGAAAGTATTCTGAAATTGATGCGAATGAACAATATTACATCTAAAAGTGACGATTGTGATGAGAAATGTCTTTACGAGTTTGGATATTCTGTGCCCGGAGTCAGAGGAGACTTTTTCAAGCAATCGTATGGAATCATTGACACGAAAGTTGTTACTGGTAAGGTTTTTTCTGTAAAGGTTTCCAAAAAATTGTAGGTTAGGAAATTTAATCGTAAATTTTTTCAGTTATAAATTATTCAATAAATATTTTTCTCACACAAAATACTTCCTTTAGACTTTTGATAATGTCAGTGTCTGTACTCTGTAACTTCCAATAGTGATAGTATATGTGGTATTTCCGACTTCGATATTCAGCTTTTTCAGTCAATTTCCATTCAGTTCTTTGGTCTTTCAATATTGAAGTCCAAACTCGAGTTCGCTATTGGAAGTTACAGAGTACCGACGCTGGTTTTAACAGGTTTGATTTTATGGAATACTCGATTTTATATCTCAAAGTTCAACCAAAATCAAAACAAATTGTTATGTGACTGTGATATTAATAAATAATTTTATTACAGGTAACACTAAGAACGGTACATTAGAATTCATCGCCATATCCGGTCCACCCTTCACCGAACCAAATAGCACTCAAGTACCCGTCAACAAGGGAAACATCGCCTCCATATACACTGACAAGTTTGACGACGTATCAGTCCTTAACGGGATCGAAATAAGGAACTTGGTTAAGCAAAGGCGTCAAGAGGAAGAAGAGGAAAACCTGAAAATTCTTAATAAAGATGTTATAAAACCTTTTCAATGGTCCCAAAGCGATTTTGTAAATGATCCCCACGAAGGTTTACCCGATGTATGGAATTTCGGAACATTTACTCCCAATTGGTCCTGGTGATTAAATCAGTACTCAGAGTCGTTAATTACAGAGTTTGAGCCGTTTAAAGATTTTTATGTATTTACTTTAAAAAATTAATCAACGCGTTACGCGGCTCTATGTTAGTCAAATTTTAATATATTTTGTAAAAATCGATTTTAATCTATCATTAGATTATTTAATGGACTCTGAGTACAGTTAATTATTTAATAAATATCCGTCCAAGTCCCGTAATAAAGCCGTTTAAATCCTTTTTAGCCATTGACATTATTCATATATTAGCCTTAATTTATTTCCATCGCATCTACATTAATTAGTTAATTTTTAATTATACTTATGTAGTTTGTCTTATCTGTGTCTGTCCTTTTATGTTTGTTTTAGAAAATTACAATCGTTGACGCCAAATCCTAATAAAAATGAAGTGACTGAATAAATATTTCGACTTTTTCGGAATAAATGTTTTACTGTGTATAGATTTTTGTTTTTTATTTATCATTTATTTATAAAAATACAATAAATATTTACTTATATATAAATAATATATCCGGACAAATTTAAATACAGTAGGTATAAGCATTGCTCACGAACCGAAATAAAAAAAATGGTTCGTGTACCTATGTACGCGCGTAAGAAGTTATACTTCTTTGGCTTTCTTTATTTTTTTTTAAATATCAAATAATCTATATATATAAAAATGAATTGCTGTTCGTTAGTCTCACTAAAACTCGAGAACGGCTGAACAGATTTATCTTATCTTAGTCTTGAAATGTTCGTGGAGGTATTTATTACCGCTGTGTGTTCAATAAATTGCAAATTGACTTTTTGACGTTAGGAACACACCTAAATTGCTTAGACAACAGTGTGATTATAATTTAATATGAACTTTATTGAATAGCAATAAAGTTCAAATTGACTGTAGAAAACGTTTGTATGGGAAATAGAAAAGGGCTGTTTTTAGGGTTTTCTCCGAAATTATTCGATTTTTTCTCGCATATAAACCTTCCCTAGACCTCCACGAACATTACGTTTTGTTTGTTTTGAAATTAATTTATACAAAAGTTTAGGTCTTTTATTTTTCGATTGAGGCAGTACGAAGTCTGCCGGGTCAGCTAGTTAATAATAAATATTTAGCGTTAATAATTTAACAATATTTAATATTTAGTATATTATTCAATTATTAATTAATATTAATAATTATTATTATTTATTATTTTATTATATTATTAATTCAATTTAATAACTAGGTATGTTTCATAACCTTTTAATCATAGAAATCTTTTAACCATAAACTAAGTAACAATAGGTCTTTGTGAAAAAGCATTGCTAAATTTTTTTGAAAAAATAATTAAAACTCCTTTATTTGTTTAAAAGGTACTACAAATGTCATTATGGTCATTCAAAATTCTTGGCATAGCTGCTAAAGTCACGCATATTCTATTTATTTTTACTTGTAGATTGTCTTATTCCCATCTCGCTCGCGCACGCTCGGCGCCCATACTGATAATTTTGTGTCACGGTGCGCGCGCACCGTAAAATTTCACTCTCATAAATTTTTCATAACGCGCCTAAAGAAGTATAACTTCAAAAATATTCCCTTGTGAAAAACATTCGTTAAATATCAAAAAGGCTACTAAAACTAAATAAATGAAATTACTAATTATTATGGGGACTAATGATTTGGTTCAAATTATAATGATTTTCTAAATGCCCTTTTAGACTCTTGCTTTCAAATTCTGAGTGCTAAATGTGACTTTCGTACGTCAAATCAAATATTTTCTTGACATATATGAGTTATATACTAATATAAAAAATTGGATAATAATTATTTATAGTAGATATGTATGTATTTCATTTTGTTACTAGCAGAATTGATGTTTCTTCGACTATGAATAGCTTTTGTTTGATTTAGTCGGTAATCAATAGCATTTCGACTGTACGGTAAAATGTTGTCACATTTGACTTCCCATCTGCCAAAAATTCTAAAAATGCTTTTATATGAATATGAAAAAGCGGCATAAAAACTAGTCTTGACAAGTCGCGTCGCATTCCACCTGGCGCAGATCCTGACTAGCTTTTGGACACTATTTACACTGATTCAAGACATGTAGACAAGCCCCGGGTGACGAAAGAATCGACCAAGCGGATAAGTAAATTAACCATCATTAACTTGTTTTGTCGACTTTCGAAAAAGCCAGGTGCAATCCGTCTGGTCGAGACTGGCACGAGGGTGCCCCGGAATGGGCTATCCGACATATTGCTCGAGCACAAAAAATTTCAGCTATCGCAGAATTCTCCAATATGTCAGTATTGAGTATAGTATGAATATAATAAGAGGTGATGCGATCCTGTATATTCTACTTACAATTGTCAAATCAAAGAGTATGATTAAATGCCAAATTAAGACAATACTTTAATTGTAAGGTGTCAGATTTCATCAGATTATTAGTTCGTTGGTGCGACTGTCAAGTGTCAGTAGTCGGCTTAACTCTTAAATCTTAATCTGTAGACTGTTACTGATAAGTGATAAGTGGAAACAAGTGATTAATTTGTGATTACCCGTGACAAGTCCCAAATGAATCATTCAAATAATAAATAAAAATTAAGCATAAATTTCGTTTTACTTTTATTTATATCAAGAAACTACTTACGGTTTAAAATAATTATAACTAATGTCAGCAAGAAAAATCTGAAGTTATATTCAATTGTGAAACGAATTAAGTATTAAACAACATTATGAACTTCTTTAAGAAACCACCAACAATAAAAGGTAGATAGTTCATACTAGTAACCTAAATCGTCAGTTTACAAAACAATACAATATTACCTTTTCAGAACAACAGAGGGAAAATGATCGTGAACTTAGGAAGGCAAGCAGAGATCTGGAAAGAGATAAAGCTGCTCTTGAAAGGGAAGAGAAAAAATTGGTGAGAATACAACATTCATAAAAAATACTATGACATCATCTTATGTCCTAAATTTTTCAAGTCAACAACAATGTTGGTTACTTCTAGTTTTTGCGCCTCCTGATAATCAATCAAGTAATATCACTAATATTTCATAGCTATCCATTTTTAAGACCAATACAACTTTGTCACAATTTTTTTCAGGAAATGGATATAAAGAAAATGGCTAAGGAAGGTAATAACGCTGGTTGTAAAATTTTAGCAAAACAACTAGTACAATTGAGAAATCAAAAGACTAGGATATATTCAGCTAATAGCAAGGTATGTAATTATATAAAATAATAAAAATATTAAAATTGAAGCAAAATATATAATTATTTATTAATAATTTTATGGGTTTACATTGAATTTACAAGATTATGTTCGTTTACATAAGGTGAACATTGGGAAACACACAATAATTTAGAAATTATCATCATAGTCCTCTTACCCCTCTTTACCTATATCCTACCTAATTATTATTATCAGTGTTCTGTGGCTCACAGTTATACAACTTATATACTATTCCCCGGTAGAATGTGACTCCTAGAGCCTATGGCCTCTGCAATGCCTTTTTGTTGGTAGTCACTGAGGTAGATTTTAATGGGTATTGCTCACCCAGTTCTCTCATATGCAGACAGATTGAAATGCGTTTAGTCCTAATTACACATGTACCTACCCTCTGTTTTGTGAAGCATAAATGTATTTCCATCTCGGGCATAAAAAATATGTAATGGCATAACACTTATACACAGGCTTTTTTAACAATAAGTTAAATACTAAGTATTTCTTTTACTTTATTCTTTATATATTTATTTATTATCTTTTCAGATATCCACTGTTCAAATCCACAATAAAGCTATGGGTGCTAATATTGCAATTGCTGGTGCTATGGGAACAACAGCTAAAACTATGGGAAGTATGAATAAGATAATGAATCCACAACAAATAGCCAAAAATATGGAGGCTTTCAAGCATGCCAATGCTAGAATGGATATGACCGAAGAGATGAGTAAGTCATATTTAGTTGTTACTTTTCTATAAAGTCTGTAGTTCAGATTAATGGGTAAGGTGTAAATAGCTATGTTTGTTAAAAAATGAATTATTTTTTTAGTATCAGAAACAATGGATGATATAATGAATGAATCAGGCGATGAGGAAGAAACCGCAGGAATTATCAACCAAGTTCTTGATGAGATTGGTATTGAAGTCAGTGGCAAGGTATGTATAAATTTAAATTAAATATCTTGATATTTATTTACACTTCTTTGCAAATAAGAAAACTATGAACATACAATTTGCTAATTAATCAGAATCAGTAGACTGGGCACAAGCAATCGTGTTGGTCATTAGGGAAGGGCAGTATTACATATACAATTTTTTTTCATAAACTAATTTTAATTATAAAAACATAGTTAGGATGAGGTGGGAGAAAATCTAACAACACAACAACCTTCCTTTAATAGACAAAAAGCCTACATTTTCCTACAATTGAAGTACAAAAATATACAATTATTTAGGATTATTTTACATCTCTCCCGACGTTAATCGCATTCACGGCAAGCACGAGGTATTATAATAGTTTTATTCTGATAGTTTAGTTATCTTTTTAATTATAATACAATTTCCATACAATTTTTTTCAGATGGCGAATGCACCATCTGTATCTAGAAATAAAGTTGGCGAATCGACAACAGATGCGGACAAAGAAATTATGGCGCAGCTCGCGAAATTGAAATCAAGTTAAACTATTGTACCAAATTTATTTATTCTAAATGTTTATAAAGCTATACTTAGAGGCGGCCATTAAAGTAAATTAAATTTATATAATAAGATTTACCTGATTTATGTAATATCATAAACTTGAAAATTTTACTAAATGGCTTAGCGATAAGTAATGTTATGATTTTACGAAAAAACACAAAAGGCTTAAAATCCATCCGTCCATTTTTTTTATAGCTGACAGAAAAAAAATGTTGAACTAAAAGTTACTTATTTACTCACTAATTTAAAATATGTTTTAAGGCCAGTAGGTGTCAGGCACTAGCAATATGTAAATTCAAATGTAATAGAAAATTATTTATACATTTTTGTATGGAAAAATTTGGACTTATTTGGAACTAAATGCGAACATGCATCGTAAAAATATTTAGTGTTGTAAATTATAATTGTATCAAAAGATCATCACTCACGCTCAAACGGTGAAGAAGAACATCGTGAGGAAACAGGCATGTCTTAGACCCAAAAAGTCGACGGCGTGTGTCAGGCAAAGGAAGCTGATCACCTACTTGCCTATTAGATTGACAAATGATTATGAAACGGATACAGAAATCTATTGGTTGTAGCGCCATTGTTTTATCTATTTTGTATAAAGCTTGCTGGTATATATATTTTAAAATATAGGACAGTAATATATCTACCCCATGGGGTCGATGGGAAGTATTTATACTTGAGCTTCATAAAAAAAGAACTGGTGATATATTGTTATAATTGTGTAATCATTAAAGTGTTTAAACAACTATTGTCTTATTACTTCCAACCCCAGTGATGATATGAACACTGATAGTTGCCAACTCATGGATGAAACTCGCTTACGGTGGAGCTACTACCATGAAATTGACGAGATACTTATATGCGTAATAGTAGGGGGGGCCCACGATGCTAAATGGGGATTTACTCGAGCGGCGAAGCTTAGATAATAATAAGAGAAAAATGTTAATTAATGTATACCTTTTCATCGGTACGGGGGAACGGCTACAGATTTTCAAAAATGTAAAAAAATCTGCCATGGACATACTCGAGCGCGTCAGATATTGATAGCATCCATGTCCTACGTATTTTTTTATAATGTACACGTATGTTAATCTGATTGTTTGCATGGTGGGGGTGGTCATTGTTTGCAGGTAAGGGTTGAAAATTAAAAAAATCGAGTGCGTCAGATTTTTAAAGGGGTGTTAAGTGAACCTAAAAAAAGCTCTAATCTAAAAATCTGACGATTTAGATGTGACGCAAACTCGCGGTCATTAAAAGAATAAGCAAAAAAATTCGCCATCTTGAAATACTCAAGCGCGTCAGATTAGATGGTTCATCTTAATGCCCTAGATGTAATGACTCATAATCTGATGATAATCTGGAGGGATTCGCCTCGATAATTTTTTTTTTTTTTTAAATCATTGAACTTAATTCATTGATAAGCTCTGGAAATAGCAAAAAGTGTATGTTGGTCAAGTAGAACTTGTATTTATTATATAATAATTTTAAGAAAATGCTTAAAAATAAAAAAAATTAACCGGAAGAACCGGTTTACTTAGACCCCCACAACTCTACGCAACACCAAGGGATCAAGCCGCTCGAAAAGTGGTCAGATTAGTTGTATGTAGTAGTAATTGTTAAAAAAGCCCTAACAGCGAAGTCGCAAACGGGATCGCATGGTTCAAAAACTCAATCTAACGCGATCACAGAGTATTGTAAGTGAATAATTGCTGGTAGTATTCATTTTATATTTTCATCCACATTTTTTAATTTCCCCATTCAACAAAGATCAACATTATAACCACACAAGTTACAAAGAACAGTCAAATTGAAATTGCAATAAAAAATTGAGATGGGTATTTTGGTAGTTTTTGTCGAAACGGTGAATAACTAACGCATCAATTTATTTATGTAAGTATGTTGATTAATACTTTATAAATTATAGAGTGTACATTGTGGCAAAAACTATTCGTTAATCGTAAAAAATACCTTCAGTATATTAAAATTGGCATTTATTTGGATCTTTATTATTTTTAGACGACGGCATTTTAGTATCAACAGTTTTAATCCATTCGCGAATCATAACCAGTCCATTGAAATGTTACATGGGCGTTCAGCCCAATTTTTAGAGGACGATTTTTTTTAAAGGGGGATTTAGGACGGGGTCAGTACAAGCTTAAACCCAAGTTTGTGGGGTTGGCGCCCTTGTCCTTCCATTTTGGAAAAAGGGAGGAAAACCCCTTTTTGGCAATATCTCCTAACTATCCATCGTAAAATCCATAAAAATTTGTAAAGATATATTTTGTATCAAATCGCTTTGCCTACAATAATGTCTCTGTGACTTTTTATCATAGGTAAATCCAAAATTCTAAAAGTTAAAGTGAAAAAAGCTGAGGATCTCTTTCTGAAGATGTTACTCTATATTTTTTTTTTCGTTAATTGGAAACCGGAAAGTTGACCGGTTCGTCAATGCTCATGACAAGCCGGTCAAAACGAAATTTTTACTTTACTTTTATGAAACTCTCATTTATTATAAACAAATTTTCGAAAATTTTTGTTCAATTCCAACAATTTTACTTATGGTAGGGAGCCCACATCTAATGGGGATTTACTCGAGCTCTAGAGACCTATTGGGATGCAAAGCTTAGATAATAAGAAGAAAAAAATGTTATATGATAAATTCCTTTTCATCGGTGGGGAAGCGGCTATAGATAGTTAAATATGTAAAAAAACTGTTCATGGACATCCTCACCTCAGATATTGATAGCATCTATGCCCTACTATTTTTAATAATGTACGTATGTTAATCTGATCGTTTGCATGATGCGGGTGGTTGTATTTAAGGGTTGAAAATGAAAAAAAATAATATTATCGAGCGCGTCAGATTTTCTAAGGGAGTGTTAAGTGCACCAAAAAAAGCTCTCATTCACTATCTACATTTCGATGGGACCAAACCCACACCATTTTCATAATTTCAAAAAAATCGCAATTTTGAAATACTCAAGCCTCAGATTAAGATATATGTGGTTCATCTTTATGTTCTAAACGTACTGTCTCATAATCTGACGATTATCTAGAGGGATTCGCCTATCTGACAAAAAAATTTAGAAAAACGGTTCACCTAAAGGGCCATCCCTCAACTTCCCGCTAATTCCATTCCTGGGCCTTAAAATTGATATTTTGAGCTCCTGAGTTCAAAGAAATAAATTTCTATGCATTTGAGCTCTCCCAGCTCAAAGTCTGATAGAAGTTTCATAGAACACTATTTTTGGAATTTTCAAACCGCAATAACATTTGAATGGATCAAGCATTTTCACCGGTTGGCGGCATTCGACGCAGTTTTATCATCCTCATAAGTAATTTTGCAATTTTAATTGATCGAACCACAAATTTCGGAGTAATCCCCGAATAAACACTTTTTCGGGTTTCTTTCGTTCACGATATCTCTCAACGAATCAACCCTTTTGACCAGCTTATGCGATCAACTGTTTTCAAGCTCAAAGGCGGATTAGTTTTTGAAGTTGATCGATAAAGAAACCACTTTAAAAAAAAAAATTTCTTAATTTTTTAAGATTTTTCAAAATTTCTCAAAATCTATCGTTTCGAATCGGTTCAAATTCACAGGAAATGTAATTTTGAGAGAATATTTAGAACGCCGTTTAGTAGATTCCGATCGGTTTAAGGAAATGTAGGCATCACCAGCTCACGCATTTAACTTTATCGACGAATTTTTGTTATTTCGGCTTCGAAATCGTCAGATTATATATTTTTCATTATTCTTGAATTATTTCCTTCAAAAAAAAAAAAAATTAGCTACGCTCCAATGTCGAGATGACTTTTTTTTTACAACTTTGTTGCCCTCCCTTTTTTCCGTCACTCTCAAATTGTCAGATTAGTGGAATATACACTTTTTAGGATGTAATTAACTCACCCTACCTTAATCTGATGCGCTCGGGAATTTCTGATGGTCAATTTTTTTTACTAATCTGATCCTGTCTCCTTCACAGGCGGCCTTATATATGGACCTCATGTTTTGTGGAGGTACTTAACCGAGTACAAGCTATCCCCCTTATATTAATCTGCCCGCTTTAGTAAATCCCGAAATCCCCTCTTGCTCCCTACCATTATGGACTAATCTAATTCTTTTATCGTCGAGCATGACATTTGAAATTGAACATTTACATTATAAGCCAGGCTGTTATTAAACAGCAATCAACATCTTTTATATAAAATAATTTGTTTGAAGTTTCTACAGAAAACATTTACAAGGCCTCGATCTATTTTAAATGCACGACAACGATCATTTGCCTCAAATTTTAATGAATCCCGTGCCTAAATTTCCACTTTCTGTTTACCTTCTTTGAAAACTACGTTTTAACGACATCCATTAATTTTACGTTGTTAATCTAACTTGCAAACAACATTTGGAGGAAAACCATTGACAAGGTAGTGCAATATGATTCCGGACCACCTTTTCGATGAAGGAATTAATAATTCCTTATTGCAAAAGGATATGGAATGCGTAAAGAAACATCGCGATGTTTATCAAAAGTCCCAAAAAGATTACGTAAGTTATTTATTGTATAAATGAGTTTTAAGTATTTGAAAAACTGTATATGTACAACGTGATACTGTATACCGTTTCACCTTTTATTTAAATTATAGTAATTATTACCTCTGCGCCTTAGTGGTTAGCATGGCGATCCTGACCGGAGAACTTGCGTAAATATTTACGAGTTTTAAGGACCAAAAAGTTAGGTATCTACTTATAAAAAATCAATGAACCATGAAATGTTCGTTCCAAGCTCTAAAATCTATTAATCAACCTTCCATACTATTTACTATCTAACTAACAAAGAGCCCAAAAGATTTTCTTTTCTTAGGAACGTGAACAACGTAATATGCTGTCGTCCCAGGACTCGGATACTTGTGAGATTCATGATCAGTTCTACCGCGATCATAAGCTATTGCTGGTGCTGTTCAGAGCTCTTGCTGTTATGCCAATAACGCGCTCTCGACCAGGTGACTTAATTTAATTATTACTTTACGACATTTTGTATGAGCCTAAGTATTTGTTTTTATTATGCTGTTTCTGTTATTTTCAGATGTGTTTGTAAACGAAATTTGCGATTATAGTTCATTTACATACAATAATAAATATGCATAGATGTGTATTTAGTAGAAAAAAAGGCCCTTCTCACCAAAATCTTTTCGTACCTTATCAGTTACTTTAAAAAAATGAATGATACATTTTTATCAAAAGCATCGAGACATTGGTTAATACATATATTTTTAGATTATAAAATGTTAAAATAAATTGTATTTAACATCCAAATCGACTTTAATTATCTGCGCTCATAAACTCTTTAACAGCCACAAAGAATAGAACAATATGTACCCTCGACCTTTCGAATTCAACTAACAAATATTTTATTTACAGGAACGATAACATTTAGCTGGAGGTCCAGAGCCACGGCCTACGCGATTTGCTTTTATATTATAGCCACAGTGGTTGTCCTGTTTGTTGGATACGAAAGAGTGATGATATTGAGGTCCATTAGGAAGTTCGACGATTATATATACGCTGTGATATTTGTAGCATTTCTGGTACCGCATTTTTGGATACCGTTTGTCGGTTGGGGGGTGGCGAACCAAGTTGCTATTTATAAGACCAGCTGGGGGAAATTCCAAGTAAAGAAATCTTTATATCACTGATAAATAACTAAAACGCAGTCCGATAGTACACTTGAATACTTTGCCTATATTAATAAATAGTTGTTCTAATACTAGGAATTTCGTTAAAAGTTGTCATATTATGCTGTAAAGTGTAGCTGTGGTGGTGTAGTGGGCTGCGAAATACTACAATATACTAACACTCCTTAAATAACGCGCCTAATGGTTTATAAATTAACTTCTTTTTAATGATACTGTAAATGATAATACGAAATAAATGAATTCATTTGTGTATTATCACAGTGCGAGTTGTATGTCCCCAGAGGTCTTAGATTCCGAATCAAATATTTTTCGTTCGAGCCAGAGACTAGTCACTTACCCATAAATATCAATCAATAAATTGGACCCAGTAATGTGTCCTTTACATTTATAAGATATGTATATAGAAACAGAAACTCTATACAAATACGTGTGTGTGTCTGTTCGCTATATAATTTTATTAGTATATTTAGTTATGATTCGCGAAATATGAAAATCAAACAGAACCTAATTCCTTAAAGGCAAGCACTATTAGATTGGAAACCTCATATTCGAAATGTCGACACCGGATTACTATGAAAACTTGTCCCTATTACCTTTGTGTATAAATTTCAACATAATTAAATATATCGTTTACGCTTGAGGCACGGAGCTATTGTAACAAAACTACGGAATTTCATGAGAGGAGTATATATTATTTTGTATATTCCAGGTAAGATATTACCGCGTTACGGGAGAGAACCTTCAATTCCCGAATTTGAAGACAAGTATTGTAATAATAAGTGTTGGATGTCTGTTATTAGCGGTTTGTTTTCTGCTGAGCCTTGTGGCATTGTTGGAAGGATTTCTATTGCGACACACGGCGGCTTATTTCCACATTATTACGATGATAAATATGAATTGCGCACTTTGGTATATTAATTGTAGGGGAATTAAAACCGCTTCACAGAGTCTATCGGAGTGTTTTCGACGGGTAAATATTATTGGTTTAGCTTATGCTAGCTAATGAATTAATATTTTTTTACGCTTTTTCTCCTTCTGATGCCTTTTCATCATTAACCGCTTTCTTAAAAACAAAAGTATCACTAACAACAAACTCACATTACATACATTCACTAAAAATCTCAAACGATTTCTTATCAACCTGCTGATACAGAAAATATTCTCATTGTGCAAAAATATTTTAGTAAAGAAATGTAGAAATCTTACAGCACAATCTGAAGTACAGTTAACATGGCAAATGGAAGAGACTGGCTGCCCACAACACAGGGAATCCTAGTGTCCCCACACTTTATTTTAATAATAATAATAAAAATAATAATTTATTTATTGCAAGAATATGGTACAAAATGTTGATACAATCGTAAATATTCTGCCACACACAATGGCGCGCAAATTTGTTTTAAGGAATTTTACATTATTAGTCAAAGACAATTCTTATATTATCTAACCTATTACTATCATTAAATTTATATCAATTACGGTGTTTCACGCAAATAATCATTTATTGAATAGTAAATTTTTTCTAAAAGTAATACACTAAGTCGCTTTTTAAAGACTCTAGACGGAAGATCTTTTATTTCTTTTGGTAATTTATTGTAAACTTTAATTGCCATACAAAAGGTGTTTTTCCGAAACAGTTCCAGGTCGATTTTTGGCACAGCCAATTTCTTCCCATGTCTACTTCTTACTTCAACTTCTACATTCGACTTAAAAATATGTGTTTCTGTGCACGAAAAGGATATTTCTAAAATATAAATACATGGAAGAGATAAAAACCTAAATATCCTGTTATTGTGTATAATAGTATTTGATTTATCTAGTACGATGTAAGTTAAAACGATAGTTTTTTAAATATCATGTAAATCTAAGATCTACAGTGACTGGAGAATTGAAAAACGAAAACTTAAATTTTCGCTACCCCGTCGACTGTATCCTCTTAAATCTTTTATGTTTTTAGAATATACTTTTTCGAAGATACAAAATCCTTTAGATACAGGAAGTAACAAACGAATTATTCCCCAATAGTACAATATGATACTTGATAGTAAATATGTTTGAATTGCCATAAACTCAAACCAAACACGGTAGAACCGATCATAAAAAGACATTTATATTTAATAAAAAAACGGACCACATTGGTTGTGTACGCAAAACGACGCTGCCACGAATCCCTCTACAGCTCGTTGGAAACTGCGTTATTTGTGTTAGAATTAAATAGAACAAATGAAAATAGTTCCGTTGTTAGAAAATATCAGCCTTTGTCCGTGCAACAAAAACAGTCCATTGAAAACATGCAAATGGATTCGTATGCGATTAGAATGATCCGTTTGTCTAAACTTTCAAACGATTCTCTTTGAGCGATACATAATTTCTACTTCATTAGTCAACTCTAGATTGGAATTCTTAGTTTTAATATTCAAATTATATTTTATCAATCCATTTTATGAGTTACTTTCATTTTATAGGCGGGTTCGGAATAACTATCTCAATTTATTATAAAAATTGTATTTTACCTGAGCGTGAGAAGAGATTTTTTAGTAGCGATATTCATTTTTAATATATGAGAGCACAGTGTATGGATATGAGGCTTGTATCAGTGTCTGTAGTTAGGAATCGTACATATAAAAATACATTTAAGATTATAAAATATCGAAATAAAACAATTGAAGTTTGCGTTTTTTGGAGAGTCACATAAACGCTTTACTCAAAAAATGTAGTTAATGGATCCTTTTTCCGTTTCTATACTTAGATATCGCTATTTCTCAGGATTTTAGGGAAGTTATCTAATAGCACTTAGTAGGTAGCCTCACACTTTTATTAGCAATTCATAAAACATGAAACAAGGTTGGTTATTTTAACACCTAATTATATATTTTCTAGGATGTGAACATAGAATGTACAGCGCACCTAATATCAAGCTATCGTTTCTTATGGCTGAATTTGTCAGAGCTCCTACAATCTCTTGGCAACGCTTACGCACGAACTTATTCAACATACTGCCTCTTTATGTAAGTTTAATATTGGAATTGATTAAAATATTTGTGCTGAGATACGAAGGCGTACAAGCTGTCGCCGCAGGACACATAAAAATATCATTTTGCATTCTGCAGACTAAACTAAATCTAGAACATTCAATACTAAAAGTTAAACATTTTGGGCTTTAAGGTTTAGAGTCGAGACGAACGCTAAGTATGATTTCCGTTGATAAGTAAAAAACATTACATTTTCACATACGGTTAGGCCTTTGATCTAAAAATAAAAAATTCTTCGTACGAAAGATATATATTAATTATCTATGACATTGTCGCATAAGTTATTTGAGCACATACTCGTAGAATACATTGCTGCACGGGAACTTACCTCCTGTCGTCACAGGATACAGATAGAATCACAGGGATTAACCAAATCAATGAAGAACAAATTTTTCAGGTTTTTCAACATAACAATAGCGATATACGGTGCACTGTCAGAGATTGTAGACCACGGATTCGGTTTTACATTCAAGGAAATGGGATTATTCGTTGATGCGGCTTATTGCTCTACATTGCTCTTCATATTCGCAGACTGCTCACATAAATCTACACTTAAGGTACTAAACTATACTTGAAAATAATGTTATATTATTTTCAAGTATTTTAATATCGCGTAGTTCAGACTTTTCTCTCTTCGTTTTTAGGTCGCAGCTGGTGTCCAGGACACTCTGTTGTCAATTGACGTCTTGTCTGTGGATAGACCTACACAAAAAGAGGTATTAAAGTGTTAATAGAATTATTGAACTTAAAATAATTTACCCTCTTATCCCTAAAAAAGGTCGAATTAACTTTCCGTTTAATCTTCAGTTAAAGTTTTTAGTTTAGTTTAAACTAAAGTTGAAATATGCAATTGGACTGATAAAAAGTAAACACAGTTGGTAAGAGACAGAAGAGTAATAAATACCAACTACGGTTCTAGTTTTAGTTAGTTATCTCATTGTTAAAATATTTGCGTTATTATTATAGAAATTTCTTTTTATAATAATAGAAAGTAAATACTGTTATGGAATGGAATGTTAATGTGCATCACTGAAACGGACATAAACGGGTCAATAGAGAGAATGAGATTTTGTTTTTCTCGTAGACGATTCAATTGAATTTTTTTAGTAGAAAAATAAGTTATAATTAAGTCAATACTAGGACCTTCGTGTATAGCAAAAAGGTAAGCATAGTGTATAATAGGTACATTTTTATATGTAACTACTTAGCATATTCAACTTAATTATATTACAATGTTTTATTACTATAAATAATTTTTTTTGATAAATACATCTTCAATGATTATGTGTACACTTTGAATGTAAACTAATTTGTTAAATATACAATCATCTGAAAGAGTGCTCATAAAGAAATATCGCTTGTGTAAGTGTTTGATGATTCGTTAGTTAATTTCAAATTCTTTTTAGATATTAAACTTTGTTTCCTTTTATATTTTGGATGCAACACTCAAAATAAAATTTTTGACGCAATAATTATCTCAAATGCAGTTAACGTTATAATCCCCAGATCGATCACTTCATTCAAGCTATTGAGATGAATCCAGCCGTGGTGAGTTTGAAAGGATACGCTGATGTCAACCGGGAACTACTTACTTCGGTATTATTAATTATTTAATTTGTTTTATTTTAAAAACAATAACTAACCCTTAAATATAATAACTAAAATCTATTTTTAAAAGGAGTCCCGTTAGGCAAGGTTCCGAAGATACTGGCAGCGTTCCCCCTTTAAATAGCTAGATTAATTCTTTGTCCGAGGTAGCTGCCTAGCACTTCGGTCTCTTGTGATGTCGACTAACCTTTTTGATATTTCCTTGAAAAGCCTTATAGCGCTAGGACCTCACGGACCAGGGGTCTCGACTCGAAAAGGGACAAAATCATATTGCAGGCTTAAGTTTTATTTTATTTTTTATTATTGGTTGATATAAGCATCTGGCCCTATGTGGCTACGTTAAGCTAGAAACCGTGAGGAGTGGAAGCTCTTAGCGGAGGCCTATGTCCAAGGACAAGCTGTAAAACAGCATAGACCACATGTTGATGATTTATAAGTAATTTTTAAGGCTATTATTATTTTAGTTGAGTCCCTGAGCTCGAACTTGGGTCCTTCAATATATGGGAACAAAAATTAAATTAATTTAAGGACACAATAACATATAATATAACTTTGTTTTTGTATAACCATATCTTAGGTTCGATTTGCGGCGGAACAATAATTGCAAGCTGAGAGTTTAAGGGTTTACGATTGTTCCACGTAGAGTTAAATGAGTTTGTTATTTTTTTAATACAAGGAAGGCTGCAGGAAGGAGCAAACGAGCATACTGGTCGATAAATATAATCCCTGGTTCAAACATTTTTTTCAGGCCGTCAGCATGATTGCCATATACTTGATCGTGCTTCTACAGTTCAAGATTTCGCTTCCGAAGGAGCCGCAGATACAGTGAATTATTTATCTATTGATAATTTTTATTATATTTATTGCAAAGTTAGTAAGAAACCAAGTGAATCACCAATAAATAATCTATATAAATAAAAAGGAATCGCAAAATATGTTGCTAAGCGCATAACTCAAAGACGGCGAGTATTTTTTTATCGTACTCTGAGAAAAAACACTAAAAATTAGTTTTATTTCGGAAAAGCGAACAGTATCTATTGGGAAGTATAGGAAATTGTTTCATATGTTAGCACAACAGCTACTAAAACGGCAGGCTAAGTAAAATATATAATAAGTCGAAACAAAGTTCGCGGTTTTATTCATTGTAATTATAAAATATTTTATTTTATTTGGAGTTAAAGTTACCTACGTAGTGCGTCCAAATAAAACTTATTTTTTTGTCGGTGTGTTTTATTAAAACTTTAAAACGTTTTCCTCTGAATTTTTAAGTATCAATGGAATTGTTAATAGCACTTCTTAATGTATGTTTTATTGTTAAATCTAGGTGTAAATCACATTCCTATTTGACGTTTATGTAATATACGATTTTGATTAATTACAATTAGTTCAGAATGTATCCAAAGTTTACAACAGTGGTATTATAATATATTTGCATTATTATCTTTGTCTTATAATATATTATGGGTAATCAAAGTTGTTTTAGACTGTAAAGTTATGTATGCTTATGATTTAAAGCGTTTATAATTTGTAACATATTTTAAATTATTGTGTATTTTATTAATCTGGTTAAAGACGATTCGAAGCCTATAATATGTGATGACTCTAAAGAATAGACGTATGTTTTGTTGAACTCTTTTATAAGCTGTCTAGTTAGGCCCTTTTCACATGTATGCGGTCACGGCGTTTTTCATCTATTTTCGGATGTCAAACATTTGACATGGACGTCTAAAAGACGCTCTGCAGCATCAAAGCATCGTAATGGACTACATCGAGCCTGTTGAAACACATCAACATCGATTTCTACAGACATTCTGCAACAATCGTCCGTCCGTTCCCCTACGATTTGCCTGTCGAATGGCATTTGCGCTCGTAATGCAGCCGTACCGCGCCCGTGTTCATGTGAACGCGTCTATACAAGTCCATACAAGACTATAAAGACGGTTGCCGCGTCAAAACCGTGCTTATAGTGGATAAGGACCGTACCGTTGCCGTGCCTAATGTATATAAAAAGTCGATCGATCGAATATAAAATGTATGCTGACGTTCATTTAGAATTAAAAAAAAAACGAGAAAAACATTTTTAATTAATAGAATATGGACAGTGCAAACTTTTTGAAGCACATCTCGTGTCGGTTTCCCTACAATCAATTCACGTTGTGACAGCTACATTGGACAGTCATTAGTAAACTTTTCCAATTTCAATCTAACTAAATATCTAGCGCGATTCCGTAATCACAGAAAAAAAAATGTACGTAATAATTATATTCGACACAAGAATAGTTCTATTTTTGAAAAATATTGGTACAAAAGTAAAAGTAAAAGTACAAAATCATTTAATCATATAGGTAACATAATGTACACTTATGACTTGTCAGTAAAGAAATACATATTAATGCTTCTTATTTTACATTTATTGCCAGTTCTCAAATCAAGGGCGTAGAACGGGAGAGAAGAACTGGCAATAAACTCTCCGCCACTCTTTTTAATCGCTATTTTTTTTGTTGTACAAAATGTTTGTAAGGAGCTGCAACCATTACACCATGTCCCATGTGACATTTTAAGTAATTAATAATAATAACATAAATTAAAAACAAAGATTTGTCCTCTATCAGCAGGAGGCATGGTGAAATAGGAGCACGCACTTACATTCCCGTGGGAACAACACGCAAAAACATAGTCGAAATAACCAACTATATATGTACTACGTAGGCCAAAGGTATAATAATCTTAAATTGTTATTTTTCGCCATTTTTTTATATTGATATCCAAGGAGATTGATATTTATCAAACCTATCAGACATTACTCACCGCCACGTAAGCCTGTCTGTAGCAATTGAGGGATCTAAAGAGATCTTTTTAACCTTTAATTTAGAAAAAAAAACGCAAAAAAAATCAAAACCATCCTATCTTGTTAAATCTTTTATACCAACATCAAAGAATGGTTTCAAGTTGTTATTTAATTTATTTAATGTGAATCTTGGTTAAAGAGTACCTCCACACTCTTCTATAAACGTAATTTCATACTGACAGATATGAATAATGCAGTTCTCACAACACTAGACAGAAATTGGAAATTACAGGTACATTATTAAATAATTGTTACATCAACAAGATTGCAACCCGAATTGCGAAGTCGTTAACATGCACCGTTCATTGTTATATTAAACTGAACTGAATTTCTAATGTTTCTCGTATAAATGTTTTTCTTTCAAACTATTCGAATTTGTGGTAAAATTAATGAATGAGATGGGAATTTGAAATTTTCATTAGTTTTACTTGGCTCTTGGGGTTTACGCATATGATAATTATTTTACCAACGAGTTTAATCTTCGACAAAAATATAAATAATGTTAGCAAAGATTTATACATAGATAGGTTGTGTTTGAATTTTTTCCTTGCCCTGCGATTCTGTAACTCACTTTTCGAACTCACACAGCGGTTTTCGCATCGGCGGTCGCTCTCAAATCAGTCGTGAAGCAGTCATTTTATGATTTGGCATTCTGATAAACAATAAACTACAAGCTCCCAACTTTTCAGAATCGCAGGGCTGATGGAAAAATATCTAAACCGCGTAAATGAATGCATGAAAAAATATACAACGTGAGTCTGTTATATATACATATATGTTTGGTAGTCTGTTTACAAAAAAAAAAATGTATACAATTTTTTTTTATATCACGATTTAGAAGCTTTAACATTAGTACTACGACCGCCGATTTGTATAAAAATTCTTATTATTCAGCGTAATATTTATTTCAAATTCTTGGTAAGTATAATTTGTGTTAAAAATATAAAATATCACGTAAGATTTCATAGTTCTAATATGGCCATAAATATAATAGTTATAGCTTTATTCAAAGTTTTACGTTGCAATAGGTAAAGTTGATGAAAAACTTTAAGATTTATCAAAATAAAATATTCATAGTCTGATTGTTAGTTATTCAAGTTCTCTGATTAAGTTCTTGAAGATTTTTGAACCAAGTAGTAGTAAATGAAATACGGACAATACAAAAAAACTCTCCTTAATAAGCAAATTTTAATATAATAAATCTCTACATATAAATAATTAGTAGAAATTCATACATAAAACTATTTTCGTCTGTGTGTACATTGTACACGCTATCATCTCAAAAGTACTAAACGGAGATTTACGCAGCATAATGTTGAACTGAATTTTATTTTAAAGGCTATATTTCATCGATTTTTGGGTCATAATTGCACACATAGAAATTCCATTGGTGCTCAACCGAAATTAGAACTATTTCAGCGGTGAACGTCAGACGTCCGCTGAAGCTGTCTAAGTATTTGACATTCGTAAAACCAATATAAAACCCCAGTAATCAATATCCAACAGTAGCAATGCAATGTTATCAATTGACGCAATCACATGATTCGTATCATAGTCGAAATGAAAAGGTGATTTCGAGTGGCCGTTATTGCTGTTAAGAGCACTCTAGATAATGGAATTGGCTTAAACAGGAACCACCAATTCAAATGTTGAGTAAATGTAAAATACGAAACACTATAAATTACTAATATGAAATCCAGTCAATAAATGATGCATGTTTCATTGGATTAGAAATAAATTATTATTCTCTGGGTATCGAATCGTTGCGTCATAACTTGTGACAATGATGCTGTGAATATGAGCTGGTGTCAAAACTGTTTAAAAAATAAATCAGTGGCGCTACAACCTTTTAAGGTCTGAGGTTTCTGTTTCGTGATCATTTGTCAATCTAATAGGCAAGTAGGTGATCAGCTTCCAGTGCACACACACACCGTCGACTTTTAGGGTCTAAGTAAAGCCGGTTAATTAATCGGTTAATCTTCATGATGTTTCCTTCACCGTTCGAGCGAATATTAAACGCGCACATAGAAAGAAAGTCCATTAGTGCACAGCCGGGGTTCGAACCTGAGGGATGAGAGTCGCACGCTGAAGCCTTGGTCTCCGGCCGTTCACGGGGCTTGATCTGCAGGTAGAAATTTCCAGAACGAACACGTTGGAACCAAAAACGCACTGTGTTTTCTTTTGCGACACCGCCATACACATCATTAATCCTTCGAGCCGTTTCTGCAGCACTGGTGCTACGGTAGAACTCGTACTTGAAAAAAAACTTGAAAAATGAAATTAAGCATGGTTTTCAAAAAACAAATGCACAAGTAAATAGCTGTAAAAAATTGAATTTGGAATTCTTAACCAAAGAGGTCAAAGTGGCCAGTACGACAAAACGTTAATTTCTCTCATCTAATCTGTCTGATCTAATATTTCCCAACAATACTATGGAAATTTAAATAACAAATACCCCTATACATATTAGCTGTAATAAAAACCGGATCATGATACAAAACCCACCGTTCAATTATTTTTTTTTAGCTGTAATTAACAGGACATACGAGCAAATTCTAATGACGGCTATATTTTATACAGACTATAAATCTTGGGATGATTACACATTTTTATTACTGGGATTTTGTGGCTTTGTTAATACAGGAAGTGTTTATTAATATGTTACCATAGATACTAAATGAATAGTATGTTTTAAAACAAAACCATGAAGGACGGTTCCCTTGAATATACATTTTTTTTAAATGTACCACGAGATCGTGGTATTTTCAAGAGAAAAAATATAAGACAACGGGGTATGGTCTACAGCAGTGTTTCCCAGCCTTTTTTTGGTTCCATGCCCCACCTTAGCCTTACTAAAGTTCTTATGCACCCTATATCTAATATATAAAATTTCTCGTGTCGCGGTGTTTGTAGTTAAACTCCTCCGAAACGGCTTGACCGATTCTCATGAAATTTTGTGAGCATATTGGGTATGTCTGAGA